TGTGTGGAGGAAGAGCATTAGTCTGGCTTTTACTAAATGCCTCTCTAACCTCCCAATACAGTATGGGAATTTCAGGTTTCGGAGATGTAGCAGCGGGTAAAGCAACGATGCCCACTTTTTTAGAAATGGGTAACATACAGCTTTCCTGACTCTCTGAGTCTCTACCACATTCCAGTATTTCCCCTCTAGTCCAGTCAATATGAGGGTGATGCTTGGTGAGCCAAGGGAACCCTAATATGATGGGACAAGAAGGGGAAGCGATTATCTGGAAAGTAATGTCTTCCTTATGCAAAGCTCCTATTGTAATGCAAATAGGCAAGGTCTCATGGGTAATAAGAGGTTGAGATAGGGGTCTCCCATCAACAGTCTCAACCGCTACAGGTGATGATCTCTCCTTGACTGGGATGGTGTGTTTTTTTAACAAAATACAAATCAATAAAGTTACCAGCCACACCTGAGTCAACCAGGCTCTGCATGAGAAGTTCTCCTCATTGCAAAAGGCCGAAATATCAAGTAGAAATCTGCTTTGGGAATTACACCTAATTACATTACACCCCTTAAGGTTCTTAGTTGTGGAAGTTTTCCGGACGTATAGGACAAGCATCTCTCATATGCCCTTTCTTGCCACAATATAAGCACAGACCCTCTCTTCTCCTATACTGTTTCTCTACCTCAGACAGTCCTGTAACCCCTAACTGGGGTCAGGGACAACAGGTTTGGAGAATCGAGGTGCTAGTGACATAGTCAAACGTCTAGTTCTGTTTCTAGTAATTTCCCTGGTCCTGAGTCTATTATCGATCTGCATAACATAGGTAATAAAGTCATTTAATCCCTTAGGTAGGTCTATGGCAGCAATCTCATCAAATATAACTTCGGATAATCCTTTTTAAAAAAGCAGCGATTAATCCATTGTTAGTCCAGTCTACCTCAGATGCTAAGGTACGAAATTCTATGGCATAATCCGAGATAGACCGGTTCCCTTGTTTGATATGCATTAGGGCAGTGGAGGCATCTTCCTCGCTGCCTAATAGTTCAAATGTCAGTTTGAATTCCGCCAGGAATTCCTGGTAACAATGAGCGATACTCATATTACTTTCCCACAATGGATTAGACCAGGTTAAGGCCTTACCTTTAAATTGGTTCATCAGATACCCAATCTTAGCTCTATCTGAAGGAAATGAGAAATCCCCTACATTCCTTCCTTATTCCTTCTACATATTACCAGAAAAATGCGGGGGAGCAGATAAGGAGATCGTAGGTGCCTTATATACTATAGGTGGAGGTACATTAGACAGTGGTGACATAAATGGAGAAGCCTCAGGTTGTAAATGAGCCGTCCTAGTAAGGAGCATGCTAAAAGCCTGGGCAAATTAATCCATATGGTGATCATTCTACTCTAGCTTTTTCTCACAAGCTTCTATGTGCTGACACAATTCTGCAGGATCTATGGCCATGTCGTAATGTCAGGATAACAAGTTGATCCAGCACGCAGTATTGTGTCACACCTTAGAATGACCGGACTTAACGTCTCCAAGAATAGTCAACATACTTGACTCCAAAAAGTACCTTAAAAACACATAAAAACCCCATAAAAGTTACATCCCCTGATAGCCCCGATCTGGGTAAAACACATATCCAAAAATCACCCAGATCGGTTCAGGGGTTCAGGAATTTCCTGGAAGTCATAGTTTTGACCGACCATGCACATGGTCCTATGCCGAAAACAGTTCCAGGGAAATCAGTGCTAACAGTCGGTTAAGTTTGGTAGTCTTTTACAGGTTTCCCTACAGGGCCCATAGTCTGTGGGCAGGAGGCTGGCAAGCAGGCTCTTCCAGGAGCTCATGGCAAACTCACTTGGAGGGGGGAGTTTGTCACATATCTTCCCTTACGGTAAGACTATCCAGACACCAGACCTCCAATCGGTCTGGGTCTGTGATAGTCTGGTGGCCTTTCCCAAAAGACGTAGTTGTCCAGATAGCTTCCTGCCAAAAGTGCCCATTTGTACATCCAGTGTCCTGTGGGGAAATAACCTGGATGCACATCCCCCTGGTTGGACCAAGTACTCGCTGGGGATGGAGGGTGCAGTTTCCCTCATCCGTGCTTGGTGGGTGAGGCCAGCGGCGCTCTCTCCCATAGCCCGCGGTTCAGCTGGGTTGGTTGGTGGGTCGTCAGGCCCCAGAACAAAGAGGTAGGTAGGTGGGTCAGAGGCATGGGCGTAGGAACCTCAAAAAATCTGGGGGTATATCATTTTTACTCGCCGGGTATATTTTTATTCCGTAAACTAGGAGTTGTTTATCCCATTGTACAGTGCTACGGAATTTGCTGGCGCTATGTAAATGATAAAATAATAACATTAAATGGTCACTACAGGGAAGGCAATTTACTTACCCAGATACAGCACCGGGATCCTCCTGATGCCGCGCCCCCTATTTAGACAAAATGACGAAATAGGAGGGTGCAAGCAGGGAGCAATAAAACACTTCTATTCAGAAGCGTCATTGCTCCCTGGTGCGCATGCGCAGCTTTGCCGCACATGCGCAGATACTTCATAGGGCAGCATTCATGTCTCGACTAGGAAGCACCTCCAGTGGCCATCTGAGTGTCCAATAGAGGTATTCCTCAGCAGTAATGTAAATACTGCCTTTTACGAAATGTCAGTGCTTACATTAAAAAGCCTGCAAAGACATGCTATAGACACCAGAACTACTACGTTTAGCTGTTGTGGTTCAGGTGACTATAGTGTCCCTTGAAAATAGAGGGGAAAAAAGAATCATCACAAATGTAAAAAATAAAATGTCTGTATTATTATTCTAAAAAGTATTTTTAAAAAAATGCACATTCCTAGCTTAATTTTTAGCATGACATTTGACACAAACATTTTGTACTTTGCAGATTACTTTCTATACATATACAAATTGTGTAATACTGCCCCTGACTTCAGGGCCAGATTAAGAGCCACGTGGGCCTGGTGCTGACAATTATGACGGGCCTAATTACAGAATCATATCGACCAAAAACAGTAAAACACTCCCAAGCATCATGTATCTGATGGAGATGGTGCTGGAGAGAAATTAAACAGCAGCTATAAGAAAAGGCTAATCTCTCTCTAATTTATGTTTTCATCTTTCAAGTAAATCCATAACCCCTAACAGCAGTGTCCAGTCAGGCAGGAAGTCAATGGGCATGGTAAAAGGGTGTGCCACTGACACAAATCACGTAACCTGCCAAAAGGGGCGAACATGCCCAAAAAGAGGACATGTCTGCTCAAAGAATTAGAAGGCCAGCCTGGCATGAATGCATGTCAGGCTGCCTGCCAATCATGCAGCTGGCCAACTAAGGGCATACTATGCAGACAGCACCCTGAGCTTGGCATAAATGCATCTAATGATGCGCTCACTCAACGCTTTCTAAGGACTGTCCCCTGGCACTCGCTAGTCCACTTGTCTCCTTACCGTCTTACTAGCAGGGAGAAGCTCCTGGTATATGGTCTGGGACAGAGAAAAGCTGTATTTAGTGAGTGTAGAAGAAAGGGAACATGCCACAGTGTTAGAGAGACCAAAGTCAGCATTACCTTAAAGGATCACTATAGGGTCACCACCATCTAGCCCCCCTGGGCCCCTCATGTCTCCATAAATATAGCAAAATCTTACTATATTCAAGCCCGAAGCTCTAACTCTGCATGCTGTTAGACTCATAAAAACAAGCAGTCTGCTGACATCATTAGAAGTGGTGGCCTAATCCAATCATAGTGCTTCGCCATAGGATTGGCTGAGACTGACAAAGAGGCAGATCAGGGTCAGAGCCAGCATGATTCAAACACAGTCCTGGCCAATCAGCATCTCCTCATAGAGATGAATTGAATCAATGAATCTTTATGAGGAAAGTTCAGTGTCTGCATGCAGAGGGTGGAGACTCTGAATGTTTGGATGCATTTTAGGCAGCCATGACCCAGGAAGGATCTCTAACAGCCATCTGAGGAGTGGCCAGTGAAGTTATCACTAGGATGTAATGTAAAGACTGCATTTTCTCTGAAAAGACAGTGTTTACAGCAAAAAGCCTGACGGTAATGATTCTACTCACCAGAACAAATTCAATAAGCTGTAGTTGTTCTGGTGACTATAGTGTCCCTTTAACTATATTCATTGTCAGCTAGTCCACACAAGTTTTGTTCCCATACATCCCACTTAAGTTTCCATACTTAAGTAAGAGTATGTGAAAAGTAGTTAGGGTTGCCACCTTTCTTGGAAAAAAAAGGAGTGACATAAGAGAAAATGCTGTAAAATCACCAAAAAAAACTATTAGTTTGATTCTGCTGTATAGATGGATTCCTCCCAGTGCCCCCACTGCCCCCATGACTCAGTGTCCCCATTTGTCCCTATGTATCAGTGTCTCACTGCCCCATGTCTCCCAGTGTCCCCTAGTGTCGTGTCCCCAGGTCTCCAGTGATCCTATGTATCACAGTGTCTCAATGCCCCATGTCTCCCTGTGTCCCCATGTATCCCAGGGTCCCCATGTCACTAGGACACTAGGAAGACCTGGGAACATGGGGAGACCTAGGGACACGGAGACACAAGTGACACTGGGAGACTAGGGGACTCTGGCTGGGACACATGGGGACAATGGGAAAATAAGGGACACTTGAAGACATGGGGACACAGACACCAGGGACACAGACACTAGAGACACTGGCTGGGGGACATTGAGACATGGGGACACTGAGACACCATGGCCACAGACACCAGGGACACTAGCTTGGAGACATGGGGATATTGTGACACTTTAGGCAATGAGAGACATGGAGGCACTAGGAGACATGGGGACAGTGAGACACTGGCAGGCTGGGAGACTTGGGGTCACTGGGAGACAAGGGGGCACTGAGACACCAGGGACACTGGCTGGGAGACATGGGGACACTGTGTCCCCATGTGTCTGTGTCATAATATCTCCCAATGCCCCTTAGTGTCTCAGTGTCTGCCATAATATCCCCCAGTGCCCCTTAGTGTCTCAGTGTCTGCCATAATGTCTCCCAGTGCCCCTTAGTGTCTCAGTGTCTGCCATAATGTCTCCCAGTGTCCCTTAGTGTCTCAGTGTCTGCCATAATGTCTCCCAATGTCCCTTAGTGTCTCAGTGTCTGCCATAATGTCTCCCAATGCCCCTTAGTGTCTCAGTGTCTGCCATAATGTCTCCCAGTGCCCCTTAGTGTCTCAGTGTCTGCCATAATGTCTCCCAATGCCCCTTAGTGTCTCAGTGTCTGCCATAATGTCTCCCAATGCCCCTTAGTGTCTCAGTGTCTGCCATAATGTCTCCCAGTGCCCCTTAGTGTCTCAGTGTCTGCCATAATGTCTCCCAGTGCCCCTTAGTGTCTCAGTGTCTGCCATAATGTCTCCCAGTGTCCCTTAGTGTCTCATTGTGTGCAATAATATCTCCCAATGTCCCTAAGTGTCTCATTGTCTGCCATAATGTCTCCCAGTGCCCCTTGGTGTCTCAGTGTCTGCCATAATGTCTCCCAGTGCCCCTTGGTGTCTCAGTGTCTGCCATAATGTCTCCCAATGTCCCTTAGTGTCTCATTGTCTGCCATAATGTCTCCCAATGTCCCTTAGTGTCTCAGTGTCTGCCATAATGTCTCCCAGTGTCCCTTAGTGTCTCAGTGTATGTCTCCTCGCAGCCTTTCCCCCATCCCTTACATCCCTGAGCTGTAGGCTGTCTCTGCAGGGTGGAAGTTGCTGTCTGGACTCTCTGTAGCTGCACCCCTGCAGATCAGTGAGTATAGATAGGCAGGGAGGGATATGCTGGAACTTCCTATCCCTGCTTGTCTCCACACACAGCGACCCCTACTGGCCAGTGCTGGTATTGCATAGTAATCTCTTGTTTATACTGAGAAAAATACCAGCATTTGTATTGCCAGTATCACTGCAATTGGCACCAGCCAGGCAGCCTCAAATACTGGCTGTGCCAATAAAATAAAAGCCAGGTGGAATCCCTAAGAGTAGTGTGTATAAAATCAATGGGCCTATTCCATGGGCCTGGGCCTGGGCCTGGAGCTGCAACTCCATCAGCCCCTATGTTAATCCGGCCCTGCCTGATTTAGGGTGACCACATTTGCTAACTGCCATTCAGTGACACTTTTAGAAGTGCATTCCATACATTTTACTACCCATCTCTACCCCTTCCATTTATATTAGAACCCCACCTACCCCTTCCATGAATATTAGAACTACCCCTACGCTTTCCATGCAAATAAGAACCCCACCTACCCCTTCCATGCATATTAACCGCTCCTACCCCTTCCATGCATATTAGTACCCCCTAACCCATTCCATGCATATTAGAACCCACCCTACCCCTTCCATTCATATTAGTACTCCCCTAACCCCTTCCAATTATTTTTCTACCTACCCTTCTCCCCCATCCATATTAGTAGCCCCGCTAACCCCTTCCAATAATTTTTTTACCTCCTCCCATCCATATTAGAAGCCCCCCTAAACCATTCCAATTATTTTTCTACCTTCCCCCTCCTCCCATCCATATTAGTAGACCCCCTAACCCCTTCCAAATATCTTTCTTCCTCCCTCTTCCTCCCATCCATATTAGAAGCCCCCCTAACGGCTTACATTCATTTTTCTACCTCCCCCCTCGCCCCTTCTTTAACCCTTCCATTAATTAACACTAAAAATGCTCAGGCAACTGTTTTTTTTTTCTTTTCAGAGGTGACAGGCTCTGCTCTCCCCCTACAAACTGTTGTCCCCCCCTTTTACCTGACATAGCAGGGGGACCTCTGAACGTCTGGCGGGCACAGTGTCAGACTGAGCGCCGGGTATTCATGTGACACCCGGTGCTCCTGCGCATAAGGGGAGGTGCTCCCCTTCCCAGTCTGCAGTGCGTGCGGTTCCCTGATGGAGCCACCCGCGGTCGGCGGAGCTGGGGGAGGATTTCTCTATAACCTGTCCCCCCTGCATGATTTGCTTGGGGGGATGCGTCCCCTCCCATCCCCCCAGTTCCTACGCCCATGGGCAGAGGCCAGCTGCACTTTGCCCAGATGCCAGCTCTTCTGCTGAAAGGGGGTCAGTAGAGGCCTTAGTTCCCTCTCCTGCACCGGGACCATGGTTGGGAATAGGCAGGTGGGGATCTGGACCTCGGTCCCATCTGCACCATCCATGCTAGGGGGCTGGTACCTGGATGACAGCCCCATCTGCTGGGGAGGGGGACAGACTGTCTCCACTCCCTGTAACACACACCGCCGCTGGGCAGAGAGACCGACCATCTCCTCTCCCAATAATATACTCTGCCGCTGGGGAGGTTGGCCGACACACTTCTCTCCCTGGGATATACACTGCCATTGGCGAGAGAGACCAGTTGTCTCCTCTCCCTGTGAGATGCACTGCCGCTGGGGAGAGAGACCGGTTGTCTCCTCTCCCTGTAAGATGCACTGCTGCTGGGGAGAGAGACCGGTTGTCTCCTCTCCCTGTGAGATGCACTGCTGCTGGGGTGGGAGACTGGTTGTCGCCTCTCCCTGTAGGATGCACTGCTGTTAGGGAGAGAGACCAGTTGTCTCCCCTCCCTGTGAGATGCACTATCACTGGGTAGAGAGACCAGTTGTCTCCTCTCCCGTTAGGATGCACTGCCGCTGGGGAGAGAGACCGGTTGTCTCCTCTCCCTGTAACTCCAGCTGACACTCGGGATCTGGGCCAGCTGCCCAGCCTCCCTGTAGGGCCAGTAGAGAGACCTCGGTCCCATCTCCACATGCCATTTGAGGTTCCTCTCAGTGCCAGTGTACGAGGTCTCCCAGGACTTGAGAATAAGGACCACCTGCCTCCTCTCCTGGTAGCTCCGGCTGCAGCTGGGGATCTGGGCCGGCTGCCCAGCATCCCTGTGGGGCCGGTGGAGAGACTTTGGTCCCATTTCCACCTGCCTGTTGGGGTTCCTCACAGGACCAGTCTATGAGGTCCCCTATTTCAGGTACCTCCAGCTGCCTCTGGGGAGAGAGGCTAACCTCCTATCATTGAATACTTATTTTCCTCGCTTGTCTTTCGACGGTTACCTGGTTCCAGATCACCAGGAAGGTATCCATGGACACATCAGGGCCATACCAAGCCACTTGCTGCCTCACCTCTGAAAGGATTAATCGATCCTTCTCCCTTGGAAGTGTTTTGTCGCCTATCTCAGCATCCGCTGTCTGCCACTTGGAATATTCACTGTTCTGTCTTCAATATTGAGGGAGACCATTGAAAGCACGGAGACAACACACAAAGTCAGCTATTCAAAAGTTTCTCGTTTAATGACAGAATTTGCATTGCTTATATAATACAATTTGCGTGCGAAGAGACAATGTCCATTCAAATAAAAAAGCCTGAGAAAGAAGCTAACAAACAGATGTTTCCCCATAAAAATAAAATTTAGCACTGAGTTATATTTGCTTAACGGGAAATAGGGAAAACACAATTCTAGGCATTTGAGCCAAATGCTGAAATAGCCATTTTTTAGGAAATGAGGTAATTTAAGTGTTAATTAGTATATGTCCGTGACAAAAATAGTCAGCTTGGATACAGACAATGTGTTGGGTTTAACCCTTCAATCCCCTCTTTGATCAATCTATTGATCATATCTATATACATAGTGTGAAGTCCATGAGGTATATTCAGGATTGCTAGTCAATCCTGCGGGACTTTAGTTAGTTCTTCACCACAGTTCCCTCAGGACAATACCCTATGACCTAGCACGGAGGAGAGTATCCAGCTGTTTGTCCTCGGCAGTAGTAATCAACTTTTGAATCTTATTCTTCAGGGTACAGGTAAGATAACAATTGTACAGAATCATAAATTACATTACAAGTACAACTATCACCAATGGATAAAAGAATAATCTAACAATGTGAGCACTTGTGGGGGACCAACTTGTGAATATATCATACCAGTGATTATCCAAGTCATCCTGGATTTGTGAACTTACTTTCAATAGTTCGCCCTTTTCTGTCTTTTTGTTACATCTTTGCATAGGGAGACTATGGATGTAGTAATATTTAGGTTAACATGTATGGCCTTGGAGATAACGGTGGTGTTAACACAGGTGGATGGAATAGGGATATGGGACTGATTGTTCATATTTGCCAGCATGGACACTGGACAATAATATAGGGAAGGGAAAACTAGATGCCTATTACTAATAATAGAATTGTTGGTGAGCAGTAGCATCTGTGTGTAATTGTCATTGGATCCTTGAATTAAACTGGCATCATTACACGCATTATTAGCTGTCTTATTATTGGCCCTATACCAAGTTTGCCATATATCCCAAAAGGTAGCATGCATCGAAGGTACACTGCAAAAGCAGTAGTACAGAACCCAGTATTATTATGGATTATTAATTTAAAAAATGGGACAGGTAGAGATGAAATGGATTTTTAACTTAAACACACTAATTCCAGGTGGTCTCAATAATGACTTTGAGATATGCCATTTTATCTAAAAATTACTCTCTGTCTGTCCATTTAAGAAATTATTCTTTTTACTTTTTTAAACTTTTAAATACTAAATTTTAATTAGAATTATTGGAAATTAACGACACACTTAGGGGAGTGATTTCATCCCTAGTACAAAAACTGGAAATTAATATTGATCATGAAATATATGCACTTTTCTGCACATTGAGTATTGATGTTAAGAATGTTAATAATTTAAGTAATATAAGAAGATTGCCTTTATATTAACTTTATATCAATTTTTCATAAAATTTACAGAAACTGTAACAGAAACAAATGTAATTATTTTTTATTGATTATATTACTTTAACTTTTAATTGACAATGATTAATGAAATCAATATACAATGAATAGGGAAGAAATCAATTCTGCAGTATATGTATTTAATATAGATACTGTTAAGAACAAGTATGAAACTCCTATGAGAAGATACTAATATGTACCAATGTGTGTTTTTTCCTTCCTATTTTCTCTGTTTTATTCATCTTCTCTATTATGTGCTGAGCACAATTTAAAAGGGTGGAATTTGTATGTATTTAACTTAAGGTGATGGGTGTCGGCGAACCAACCTGTTCTGCCACTTTTTTTTTTTTTTTGCTTGAGGGTATGTGCCCACAAGCAAGATGGCTGCGGTGAGAGCGGAAGTGATCTTGATTACCCTGATGAAAGGAAGGTGTGGAAATCACAAGAAGCTAAATCCGGATTGGAGGATGGGATGGGTGGACCGCCCACTGGATGTTTATGTTTTTTTTTATGTACATTAGTCCCAATCTTCCTTTTTAGTGATGTGAGGTCTCCTGTATCTATTGGGAAAGTATGTTCCCATGACTGGAACAGATATGAGAACAAAGACCTATCATTATTATTACTGGTTATTTCCATGGCACAATTCCCTCCTGTGGACATCTCAAACTGTTGTGTATATGGTTTTCTGGTATATGTGCAAAGATAACCCGGTGTATATATATTATCCAAGTAGCCACAGCCTTCCCCTTACTGTTCAGTTCAATTTGATACTTATGTGGATCTTCAGATGAGCATTCAGTATCTGGGGAACGGGGGTGTCTTATGCTAGATGAGAAATTAAGGCCTAATTGGGCTCCAGAGGATAATGAAGAACTGTCCATTGTTTCTTTGGTCTCCTGAAGAGACCCATTATGTTTCCAAAAGAACACTGGTTTCAGATTGCCTAAGTTCTCGTATTTATAATGGCAATCCAGATAGACAGTAAAAGGCAATACAAAGATAAAGGTGATGACTGCCAAAATCATGATTTTGCTTTCCTTATTCGAGCCATGGTATATCACATAGAAGAACAACAGGTGGTTCAGGTACAACTGGTTCTGGATGCTCCAGTTGGGTCTTGGCTCCCCTCTTTAGACACGGTTTTACACGTGATGCATGAATCAACAGATCTTGGGAGTCGGTTAGGACTGCAGTGCAGGTCACAGCGATGACAGTGGTTGGGGGACCGAATGGGAAGCCTCCTTTCTTTGTTCTGTTCAACTGCCGGATACACACTGAGTCTCCAGGTTGATAGGGATGGGTAGGTTCCTGTGAAGGTAAAGGGAACTGCGAAGAAACATTGCCATATATACAATTCAACTTTATCAACAATTCCTTAACATAATGTTCCTGAATTAGCTCTTAATCACCAGGCATAATGACTAATGGTTCCCTGGCCCAAGGTGTAGTAAATGGTCTACCCATTAGGATCTCAAAAGGAGATCATTTGGTAACTTTATGAGGGGTCATTCGTATCTAAAATAGCTGGAAGATACCTTTGCCAATTACCCATGTCCCTGTGGTTGCCATCATGAGTTTCTCTTTGATAGTCCTATTCATCCTTTAAACTACTCCTGAGCTATGAGGGTGATAGGGTATATGAAACTTCCATGTCACCTGTAGCCATTTAGCAAGTTCTTGAGTGACCTTACTAGCAAAAGCCGGTCCATTATCAGAATTAATCTGTAAGGGAAAACCATACCTGGGTATTATTTCTGTAGCGAGTATTTTCACCACAGTTTTCGCATCTTCTATTGGTGACAAAAGCTTCAGGCCACCGACTAAACTGATCTACTATTACCAAAAGATATTGTTGTTTATGACCTGTTTTAGGTATATGGGTGAAGTCATCCTGCAGGTGTGTGAATGGTGCCGTGGATGGGGGCAAATGATCATGGGATGGTTTCCCAGGGATGTTAGGATTGGCCCTCACACATGGTTCACATAGCTGTATAAATTTGCATACATGATCTTTTAAATTCAGGATGTACAAAGAATCCATAAGGAATTGTATGGTGTTAGTTATACTCCTATGTCCGGGTCTGTGTGCTTGGCTAATAAATATGGGGGAACTTGCCTCAGGTATACCTATCTTCCCATGTGTTAAAAAAACGCTATTGTGCAAATAAACGCCAAATAGTGAAAAGTGTGTAGCGCTTTAACAAATAAACAAACACTTACTCCTGGAATTCTCAGGAGATATAGGCAATGGGTGGGAAAATCCTAAAAATGCAATATATAAAATATGGTGCAATATGATCGGTATAGTGGTGAGAGGAATATCTTATACTGGATTCACTCACATGGTCTAGAGCCTCTTAAGGACCGTCTCTGATCTCCTCCGCTTTTGTGTCCTTAAGGTGACACACACCCTAAACGTCCATATTAGGCGAAAACCTCAAAATGGAGACAAAAAATGGAGAGAACAGGGAAGCAATGCTGACCCTGGTGCAGAAATCATTGATGTAATAAAGTGCAGAATATAAATAAAAATTGGTTTCTCACCTTGTCAGGAGCCTATAACTGGGCTCCAAGTATGTGGATGTTGTGTCAAATTATAGTGATACAGCCCTTCTTTAAGCAGCATAGATGTTTCACCAGACTTCTTTTATAAAAGAGTAACATTTATTGTAACATATACTATAAAACAATAAAATCAATATACTTAAGTGCTGGTGATGAGTCCAAGACGCGTTTCGCCTGTATAATTCGGCTTTATCAATTGGTAATTAAAAACGCTGCTAGTTCAAATTTAAATACCACAAAATAACACAAAACAGAAAAGGGTGCGCCTCAAAACAAATAATAGAAATATTAATAATAGTCCAAATGACTTTTCATAAATTCAGAGTGATGCAATCCACGTTTATAGGGAAGACTCTTGTAATACAATAAGATGGAGAAACTCTTCACTTAAAATTCGATGGAGCATATGGGGAGAAAGAACACAAGAAAAACTCCAATGGTACAGTATGTAGGCAAAATGAAAAACAAAAGTGGTAATCAGTACTACTCACAGTCTACAGAGCTAATATCCAGCTCTGGTTTAAAGTGCGTGGAGTGGAATGATATTTGGAGTGGTGCTGGTTAACAGGTGTATAGGATGGTTCAGTAGTCCGATTATTGGTGCGATTCAACCAAAAAAAATAAAAAGAAAAACATATAGTGCTCACTGTATCTTTTAGGTGAGAGAACATAAAGTGAATGAAATGTACTCACAGTATATAGAGCAGACTATACTGCTCGGTGTAAGCGTATGGGTGGTATAATCCCCACCTATGGATTCTTTGTACTTCTTTGGTAAACGTTGAGTGTCAATGTAGCCAGGTAAAGATGTATAAAATAAAAGAAAAAATAAATAATAATAAAAAAAAGAATATGGTGTTTTGGATCAAAGAAAACTTTGATTATTTGTCTATCTACTCCTTCCAAATTGATTAATTAATGCGTGCACGCTTTCCCTAGAAGTAATTCACACCGGAGACAAAGTTTCTGATCAGTGAAAAACCAAGGAATGCTTTATTCCCCGGAGTGGGGGCTCCTTCTTAAAGCAAAAATATGTCACAGTTTAAACATACAGTATACATTCACCAATTGGTTAACAGTCTAAGGGTTCTTGTCTAAACCCCCCCTACAGGATGTAGTGTCATCATTACAGACTTCTGGATACTCGATGGGAGGGGGAGTGAGTAGTTTCTTTCAGTTACTTTAACAGTGATTCTACATTTTGTTACACGTGGCATATAGCTGTTAACTGGCACAAAGGCAGTGGGGGAGGAGTTAGTAAAGGGAGCTGTTAACACAGGAATTTTGGTTACACAAGGTTTGCTTGATGGGAAGGGGGATGCTTAGCACGATGAAGAATTTACATAGGAAACAGCAACTGAACACATTGTAGGGGGGGAAGGGAATATTTACTCTAGCAGCCAGTTTTAACATAGTGAACACAGAATAAATAGACATTAGTAAATAGCCATTTTATTTTAATTCATCTGTCCATAACAATGGCAATCAAAGAAATTGGTGCCAAAGTAATTCCTTTATTTAAATGTAAAAAAAAACAACAAAAAAAACATGCGTAGGACCTTTAGCGTTTTATATTTTACATTCTATTATTGTTGGGTGAATTTTCATCCTGTAAATAAAGCTGCTACATCGTTTTTTTCCCAACCATCCCTTGAGTCCTGCATTGTGTTTACATCATTGGAGCAACAGGAGGGATAACTTAACCCCCCACTGTTATCGGGGGAGGCACCCTTGAGCGCTACTTCTCAGGTAACTTTGTGAGTGCATTTCTTTTTTCAATTTGACAATTTTTATTTTGTCATACATCAAAAAGCAGTATATGAGGGGTACAGAATAAAAAGGGGAGGTGGGGAGGGAACTAGGCAACACTGTTTACACGTACACTTTCTGCCTTGTATACGTACATTATGTAGTTCACATTACACATCACGTGTTCCACATTTCCTCTGCTAGCGTATACAATTTTAACCATTACACTTTAAACTTTAAACTTCATATTTTCCCAATCCGTATTTGCTACCTTTCTCGGAGTCGCAAGTGTAGTATGGAGTGCTGGACGTAATATCGCCACTTGTGTGGTTGGACTAGCGTCTAGCGGGTAAATTAGTTTTGCAACACGTGTGTTTTGTTGCTCGCCCTTATCCCGTGCGTATTGTGCCGACCCCTTGCCCCTGTATACTGGTCTCCTTCAGGGAGTCTGGGTTCTTCTCCCCTCGGGAGCTTGCGTAATGTGGTTGCCTGGTGGTAGCGTCTGGGCTAGGCGTTCGTGAACTACTGGCGGGGTGCTCACTAGGGCGGCTGTCTAGATACATATTAAGTTGTAGCTCGATAGTTGTGTGTGGGGGGGGTGGGGGTAGGGTGTGCAGAGAAGGGAAGGGAAAGAATTAAGGGAAGAAAGGGGAAGAGATTCAGTTTGTGGACCTCTTGAAAATGGTGTCTCTCTTTGCCCACCCTCTGGGCCTATGTTTCCTAGTTACTAGTTCTACCTTTCTACCTCCAATGTACCATCGGTTCTATGTGTTAGGACCTCCTCCCAGGTCAAGTCTCAGACATTCCCCGTCTCTCTAGCTTTGGTTCTCTACTCGATCTCTCGTGTCTTAGCGTACCTATGCGTCCTGAGTTCTGGAGTGGTGTGAACTTCTCTGAATGTATTTTGCCCATTTGTTTTTTGTGTCTATGATCGTGTGGTTATTTGTAATGTATTTATTTGCCATAGCCTCATATTCCCAGTTTGTGGATGTTTGTGTTAGGAGATCGTGTTTGCTGGGTGCTTGTGGTTGTTTCCACTGTCTGGCTATCAGGGTTACTGCCGCTATGAGCACTTGGAATATCAATTGTCTTTCCTGCTTGTGCCATTGGGCAAAATGCATGAATAGTATGCCCTGTTCAGGCCCCAAGCTGTAAGGGCGGCCTATCATGTCAGTGATTATCTCTTCCACCATCTCCCAGTAGGGAGTGATTATCGGGCACGTCCACCAAATGTGGTACATTGTCCCCCTTTCTCCGCAACTCCTCCAGCATTCCCCTGAGCTTCCCGGGTATAGTTTCGCTAGTTTGTCCGGGACCATATACCATCTGTACATAATTTTCCTCATTGTTTCTAGGTGAGTCGCGCATGATGTGTGCCCTTTGTGTGTTTGGAATGCCTGTTTCCAGTCTAGGTCTGCTATTGGGCGTCCTATGTCTTTCTGCCAGGCATCTCTAAAGTCTCCGTGTCTGTTTGTATCTACTGCATTCAGTAGCGCATATAGTTTCGACAGGATTTTTTTATGTATACTGCCCTGTAGGCATATCTGTTCTAAGGCGTCAATATTTGGTGGTTCGGCACATGGACCCTTGCAGTGTGAGGCCACAAATGATTTCAGTTGGAGGTAAGGGAATATGTGTCTGGATTGCAAGGAGAACTTGGTTTGCAGTGCTGGGAATGGCAGTAACTCGTTGTCCACGCATATCTGGCTAAGGTGGGTACATCCCCCTCTCACCCAGGGGGTGTGGTCAAACGTCGGTATGCCCACTGAGATGCTCGTGAGTGGGATATTCCCTATAGTTGGTCCGACCATGCCCAGTGATGCCCTCACAGAGTCCCATGTTTTGATCATTGCTGCCGTGGTTGTGTACGGCGGTCGTAGTTTGTACGGCAGCTGGTATAGGTGTTGCAGCCCCTGTTTGCATGCCCAGTGTGTTTCTATGTGGACCCATTGGGGGGGTCTTCTACTGCGTTTGTCGCTGCTATGGCAGTCAGCAATGTGGCTCTATGGTAAGAACGTTGGGCATGCCCAGTCCCCCTTCTTTGATCGGTTTTTGTAAGAGCTTGCTGGCCACCCTCACCTTGCAGTTGGCCCACACAAACCGTACGATCAGCTTTTGGATTGTGCTCATGTATTGGCCCGGCAGACTAATCGGGACTGTGCGCAGTAGGTATTGGAGTTTGGGAAGTATAGACATCTTAATCGCCGCCAGTCTGCCCAGCCAAGAGAGATATTTGCCCTCCCATGTGTGTAGCGTGTCTGTAAATGCTTTGATCAGTTTAGTAAAGTTTAACTTGAACAAATGGGGTAGGTGGGGGGGTATATGGATGCCCAAGAAGGTAATGTAATCCTTCCTCCAGTCGAATGAGAAAAGCTCACTCAAATGTTTCAGCCGGTGGGACTGGACTCCCACACCCATAGCCTGGGATTTAGTGACATTCAATTTGTAGTAGGAGTTAAGGCCGTATTCTTTAATGTCTTTCATGAGGTGTGGTAGTGAATTGTGAGTGCATTTCATTAACACAATTTATTTTTTCAAATTGTATTACACTGTGCATGTTTTTTGTTTGTTTTAGATTTACATCTGTATCCCAAACATTTCTGGTTGTTTTGTATTCCTTTTTATTTATAATAATAAACAAAACAACAACAACAAAAAATTTCCTTGCTCTTACTTGAGCTCTTACTAGACAGAAATCCCCATGTGTAATTGGGTGGCTTTCCCACTTACCAATTTCCAAGAAAACAAAATAGATTTTCAATAAACACAATTGCTCGCTCTCTCCTTCAGCTCGCCTAGCTGGCTTTTTCTCCCTCACTCTGCAGCAGGCTGATCCCTTCATTTAAAAGCCTGCCTGCCAATTGACAAGCTACAGGTGAGGATCAATTAGTTCACATCTCTGGAACTCCTAAGGTATAAACAAGATCAGGTCTGGCCAGTGGCGTACTAAGGGAGGGGCAGGGGGGGCGGTCCGCCCCGGGTGCCAGCCGGTGTCTATAGCCTGTCCCTGCAGGCCTTTTAATGTAAACACGGCGGCACTGCAGCACTGGCGTTAGTTAACATGGCAAATCATATGGCTGGGGCATTGTGATGTCACATGGGGGGCGGCAAACTTTACTTTTGCCTAGGGCGGCAAAAATCCTTGTACCGGCCCTGGCTGGAGGGGGCTGTGTGAGCTGTGGCCGCACAGTGTCCCATGGTAGTTAGGGTGCCGTGCGGCCAGTACAGCTCACTCAAGCAAACAGCTGATAAACTGGCCGCACGGAGGAAATGTGTATGTGTGACTGTCTGTCTGTAACTGAGTGTGTGACTGTCTGCCTGTAAATGTGTGTGTGGGGCTGCAGGGATTTTGTAGAAGGGGGTGGGGGTTTTGTATTGGTACAGGAGTCTTTATAAGGGGGGATAAGCAGGGGATTTGTGGAAGGGGGTTGCGGGGGTTTTATAGATGGGGCAGTACAGGATTTGTAGAAGGGGCAGGACAGAGGTTTTGTAGGAGGGGCAGGGCAGGACAAGGGTTTTGTAGGAGGGGCTGACAGCGGTTTTGCAAAGTTTACAAATTGTAAAAATAAAAGAAATAAAACCTTTAACATTTTTACAGGTTTTTTTTTTGGGGGGGGGGGGGGGTGCCAAGCACAGGATCCGCCCCGGGTGCCAAATGCTCTAGGTACGCCCCTGGGTCTGGCTGTTATATAGCAACTAGTGCTATTGGAGCACTGGCCCACCCTGCTCTCCAAATGCTCCGCCCCAGGGACCCATACAGTGTTTTGCATAGTTTCAGCAAGGTATATTGCAAACTTAACATCTCTCCCTGGGACATTTAACTGAAAATTCTCTGGCTGTTGTTTAGCAAAGCAGGCCTGATATATCTTCCTTCAACAACCATTCCACTTTATCGCTCACAATATATGTATATATTTGTAGTCGGGGACATTAGCCGTTATAGCAATATTAAACCACATAAGTGGGGGGGCGTGGTTTGGCCTTGGACTAAGATGGCAGCATAACCCTACAGCTCCCGTCCATCCACACTGCATCACGCACATACCTGCAGCATCGCGACGCACACATAAAGTCAAACGCCTTTACCATGTCCATCACAGGCCTCGGAGCGAAGCAGCAAAGGAAAAAACAAGTGGAGCGGGGTGAAAACCCAATTTCGTCTCAAACATGTTTGCGGCCTTGTGGACAAATCCAGCCTCCCAAGGTGGCCGCCACACGAGTCCACGCGGCTCCCCCTCTCTGGCCTCTGAGACTGGCGATACTGCGGACACCCCCACAGGTGCCACAGCACAAATACTGCAACAGCTCGTGGAGGTGAAAACCTACCTGGCGGGCGAAGTCAACAGAACCTCCCGCGAAGTGAAGGCCGAGAACCAGGCCTTGGGGGTACACACATCTGATTTGGAGCTCCGAGTAGAGACCGTGGAGAGCCCATAACACAATGGTGTCCCACGCCGACTCCATGGCACAACAGCTGGATGCCTTAGAGATGCTAGTGGAGGACCTATCTATCCGCTCCAGATGCAACAACCTACGCATAAGAGGCCTTCCGGAAAACCTGGCAGAAGGCCCACTCACACAGCGTATGGAGGAATTCTACAAGCACTTAATCCCTGGTATACCAAACGAAAGATGGGTAATTGGGCCCACCAGGCTCTGTGAGCCAGGAGAGCAGAGGGGTCCGTACCCAGAGACGTCATCAAAATATTCCACCACTGTTCTACCAAGGAAGCCATCATCAAATATTGCAGGGACAATGTATTACAATATCAAGACACCAAGCTGGCAGCATACCAGGACCTCGCACCAGCTACTCTACAATGCCGCAATGAGTGGAGACCGGCCGCGGAACTCCTTTGGAGCCACAAGATAAGATACACTTGGGGACACTCCTTCAAATTGGTGTCATGCGGGAAGGACCCACTCCCTGATGCCAGGAGCCGATCCAGTCCACTTCTTCAGAGGACTCAACATCGACGTTCCACCCGACTTCACCCTACCTAAACGGTCGAGACCACAGCTGACACCCATTGCCCAAGAATGGCAGGAGATTGGGGTCAGACCGGACGGTATCACCTGAATGGGACACTAAGGGACATGCACCTCCCCAGGTCCGGAACCCTGTGCAGTTGGACCACAGAAACGCAAGCAAGGACAGCTAAGTGATGGGGGAATGGGCTGGGGACTCTGGGTAATGTGGGAAACTTATCACTAGTGAGTGCCCTAGCAGAACAATATGGGGTTTTATGTGGCTGCACCCTCAGTTAGAAGAGGGGGAGGGAGGGAGGGTTGACAAGCAGTGGCAGAAATATCTACTCAGCTCCCCAGCGATGGTGACGGGCTCCCGGCCCGGTTGGGAGGGGTGCCCACAGCAGTGAGGGGCTCAGGTGGAAAATGGTGGGTTAGCACACTCGGTCGGAACCATTTACCCCGCCACAAGTAGAGCAATTACCCCAGAGTACACGTGCCAACTCTTGACCGTGGGAACAGTGGCTCAAAGTTACCACAACTCTTATCTACCATAAGATAACCGCAAAAAAAAGGATATTTGAAAAAAATAATAATAAATAAAATAAAATAAATAAAAAAATAAACAACAAATAATAAACTAATAAAAAATATCAAAAAGGAAAAAAAAAACAATAAAAAAAAAGAAAAATCCCAACATGATATCTGGCTCCCAGTTCAAGACCCCTTACCCACCCCCAGATATGACTGCACCCATGGGGAGGGGGTGTGGCTGGGCCATAGCTCATTCCCCCCACAGAATTATATCGGGCTCAAGGATAGACAGACACTGGTCACAGAAGAGAGCCTGAGACAGAGGGGCAATCCCAGTAAATACAAGAGGAACAATACGATGGGGGGTGACGAGAGTCCTAGAGGACTTGTCTGTCTTGCACGTCGATGCACAGCGGATTGGGGCAGGGAGCTGCCATCCGGCACTGGGAACATGTCATCTCAGGGCGGGAGTGGCTTGCACCACCAAGCTGCTCTGGCGATTTGTAAGACCAGACTTCATTTTGTAAATATATTAAGTTACAGTTATGTTATTATTTTACTTCGTTTGTATGATTTACTCGTGACACCTCTACACCAAGATGGCTCTCTCATGGGGCGCAGGCCCTGGGGAACAGCTGAAGCAAAGGGATGGTCACTTACCCAGATGGGGACTGAGGAGTCGCGGGAGGGGACGAGGCTTAGAGACTGGGGAGTCCATAGCACATGGCAACAACCACCTCCTGATGGCACAGTGTGGCTCTAAAGGTACGCTGACTTAATGTAAAGGGACTAAACATGCCCTCCAAACATAAACTTCTATTGAGGGAGCTGAAGGCTAAATAAGCCAACATCGCCCTAATACAGGAAACCCACCTCCTGTCACGGTAGTTTACCCCTACACGCAAGATTTAGTTCAACAATCGACAGAGCAGATACGACTTACCGGACCTTAGAATGGCCGGACTCGCCGTATAGCAGAGAATAGACAGAGTCAAGAACAAGCCGAGGTCAAGGGAACAAAGAGACTGCGAGAACAAAAACTAGCCAAGGTCTGGTACACAGTAGTCAGTAAGCCGGCAAACAAGACAAAACAGGGATAGAGAGATAAAGAGAGTCAGATACAAAGCCAAGGTCAAGTACGAAAATCACAACTGAACACAACAAGCGCTAAAGGGAACTGAAACAGAAACCACGATAGGGCAGGGAGTTAAGGGAGAGGTAAGTATAAATACCCTAAACTTTACCCACGGTTCTGGGACACCCTCACTACACTGGCCCACACAGGGGGAGGGGGGGCGGTGCTGGTGGGAGGGGACTTCAATGAAGTGCCATGTCCAGCGGTCGACAGA